GGCAGAGTGCAGTCGGCCTCTGCCCTCCCTGTGTCCCTTGTCCAGAGCCTGATGTCCTGCAGCCTATACCAGCGGAAGAGCTGGCAGCTGGGCAGAGTGCAGTTGGCCTCTGCCCTCCCTTTGACCCTTGTACAGAGCTTGACATTCTGCCGGCTATCCCAGCGCAAGAGCTGACATCAGGGCAGAGCGCCGCTGGCCTTTGCCCCCCAAGTACCACCAGCTATTTGCCCAGCTGCACCAGGAAGGCCGAGGATGCTGCATTTTTATCCTACAACCTGGAACCTACCGGCCAGTACTGTTTATTGTCGGGGGGGCTACTTTGCCACTTGTTATTTGTGGGTGGGCTACTCATGTACTTGTTCACTGTGGGTGGGTTTATCGACTAACTCAGGCACTGACCGACAGGTCAGGTACCTGGTTAGTCTCCCCCCCAAAGGGGAGATGTGTGACGAAATGCCTTTTGTCCCTGGATTGTTAGGTGACAAGCTGCCCTTTGCCCCCGGCTTTTGGAGGAGCCTGATTGCCAGCCTCCTTCCTCATGACTATGGCCCTGGGGTGTATTGCCATTTAAAAAGACTATTTGGGGCTTATTGGCTTCTAAAGACAGTTTCTTCCCATTGGAATCCATGGGAAGGTGTGTTTCTTCCCCTCCCCCGTTTCCTGTCTATTGTTCACCTAGATTGGGCGCTCAGATCCGAGCTATCTGGGGATAGGTTAAATGTGGGGGTTCTGTGTAATATAATAAGAATTATGTATTTTTATGTACTTTTACGTATTTTTGCTGTTAGTTTAAAATGTAGATATTTTCTGTACCTGGAGATAATTGAGTTTACTGCAGTGCCTTAAGCCAATTATCTCCAGGATGGAGAGGAGGGATTTCATTGTTTATGTGAGAGTGTTATCATGTTAATTAGTGTTCCCATTGGTTTGTGTCCCTTTTGTCACAGTTTACCACCAGGTCCAGGGGGTGTGCCTCTGACCTGAAAACTTGTATATAAGGAGTAATAAACGCTCATTGGAGTCAGATCATCTTGTACCTTCATGAAGTTTCGGCTCATGTTTGGGGGATTGGAGAAACTACACTCTGGGGATTGCTATAATCACTATACTCCCCAGGGTATAATCACTAAGCTCTGCTAAGAGCTTGTTCCTGTTCCTGCTCTCTGGAATTCGGAGAGAGGTCGACCTGCTGGAAGCTGGACCCTGGTCCTGGGTCCAGAGTGGGTGGAGACGGCGAGATCCCAACCAAGCTGCGGCGGTTCGTGGGGTCTGCAGTGGTTATGGTGTCAGGCAGAGTGCTTGGAGTCCTCGGAAAGCACTAGGAGCATCCGTCGGCGGGAGGTACCCGGTCGGGGTGCCAGTGGTTCCGTTACAACATTTACTCTGCAAAATGTAATCAGCAGACACAGAAGACAATAGATAGGAGGAGAATATAGCACCATTACCTGCTCACAATCCCTACAAGTTTTCATACCTCCCAAGTGTCCCTCTTTAGGGACAGTCCCTATTTTGTGCCAAGATCCATCTGTCCTTCTTTTCTATCCCAACGAGCTCCATATTGTTGGGGTGTCTGAGTGTATAACAGAGCTCTACAGCAATAACACTCCCAGTAATGTGTCTGAGTGTATAACAGAGCTCCACAGCAATAATACTCCCAGTAATGTGTCTGAGTGTATAACAGAGCTCCACAGCAATAATACTCCCAGTAATGTGTCTGAGTGTATAACAGAGCTCCACAGCAATAATACTCCCAGTAATGTGTCTGAGTGTATAACAGAGCTCCACAGCTAATAATACTAATAATACTCCCAGTAATGTGTCTGAGTGTATAACAGAGCTCCACAGCAATAATACTCCCAGTAATGTGTGAGTGTATAACAGAGCTCCACAGCAATAATACTCCCAGTAATGTGTCTGAGTGTATAACAGAGCTCCACAGCAATAATACTCCCAGTAATGTGTCTGAGTGTATAACAGAGCTCCACAGCAATAATACTCCCAGTAATAGTGTATAACAGAGCTCCACAGCAATAATACTCCCAGTAATGTGTCTGAGTGTAATAACAGAGCTGCCAATGCTTGTTGCATACTGCATGGCTGCTAATTACATGCTGCGTGTCTGGGTATGCTTGTTGCATACTGTATGGCTGCTTTGTTACATGCTGCGTGGCTGGGTATGCTTGTTGCATACTGTATGGCGGCTTTGTTACATGCTGCGTGTCTGGGTATGCTTGTTGCATGGCTGCTTTGTTACATGCTGCGTGGCTGGGGATATACTGCATGGCTGCTTTGTTACATGCTGCGTGTCTGCTTTGTTGCATGAATGCTGCGTGCTTGCATACTGCATGGCTGCTTTGTTACATGCTGCGTGTCTGGGTATGCTTGTTGCATGGCTGCTTTGTTACATGCTGCGTGGCTGGGTATGCTTGTTGCATACTGTATGGCGGCTTTGTTACATGCTGCGTGGCTGGGTATGCTTGTTGCATACTGTATGGCGGCTTTGTTACATGCTGCGTGTCTGGGTATGCTTGTTGCATGGCTGCTTTGTTACATGCTGCGTGGCTGGGAATGCTTGTTGCATACTGCATGGCTGCTTTGTTACATGCTGCGTGTCTGGGTATGCTTGTTGCATGGCTGCTTTGTTACATGCTGCGTGGCTGGGTATGCTTGTTGCATACTGTATGGCGGCTTTGTTACATGCTGCGTGGCTGGGTATGCTTGTTGCATACTGTATGGCGGCTTTGTTACATGCTGCGTGTCTGGGTATGCTTGTTGCATGGCTGCTTTGTTACATGCTGCGTGGCTGGGAATGCTTGTTGCATACTGCATGGCTGCTTTGTTACATGCTGCGTGTCTGGGTATGCTTGTTGCATGGCTGCTTTGTTACATGCTGCGTGGCTGGGTATGCTTGTTGCATACTGTATGGCGGCTTTGTTACATGCTGCGTGGCTGGGTATGCTTGTTGCATACTGTATGGCGGCTTTGTTACATGCTGCGTGTCTGGGTATGCTTGTTGCATGGCGGCTTTGTTACATGCTGCGTGTCTGGGTATGCTTGTTGCATGGCTGCTTTGTTACATGCTGCGTGTCTGGGGATGCTTGTTGCATACTGCATGGCGGCTCTGTTACATGCTGCGTGTCTGGGAATGCTTGTTGCTTGTTGCATGGCTGCTTTGTTACATGCTGCGTGTCTGGGAATGCTTGTTGCATACTGCATGGCTGCTTTGTTACACGCTGCATGGCTTAGTAGATGAGAAGGTTTGCACAGGCTGCAGATCTGCAGCTTTTGAACGCTGATTTTTCATGTAGCCCAAAAGAAAACATGTAGAAAATAATACACGCAAGCTTGCTTTGAGGGAATCGCTACTAAGTTATTAATAAATGGATTTTTGTTCATTTGAGATGCATGCCAGACCTAGGTTAGAAGATTAACCCTTTCCTTACCAAAGGTCTCCCCAGACATGTCATGGAGTAATTATTATTAGACACAGGCTGCCCATCCCATGCCAGGAATCCACTCTCCTGCCAGAACACATCCATCACAAAGCAGGTATTACAGCCATCAGCCATTAACCCTTCCATTGCCTTACACAGTGTGTGTGAAATGCTGTTTCAGGCTTATCTAACCAGCAGCTATTAACCATTTCAGTCCTGCAGTCATGGGTGCAATGTTCCATCAGCTAATCCTCAGCAGGAAATATTAACAATTTCACTGCTGCAGAGGTAATCAGTAACCATGTTAACCCCTTCACTGCCATATTAACTGATCAGGATAAGCCTTGACAAACGCCACCTATTAATCCTTTGTATCATCCCCCAGCTATTAACCCTTACAGTCTCAAGGTAAATCAGCAGGGGCCACCCTGACCAACATTGTATCATTCCCCAGCTATTAACCCTTACAGTCTCAAGGTAAATCAGCAGGGGCCACCCTGACCAACATTGTATCATTCCCCAGCTATTAACCCTTACAGTCTCAAGGTAAATCAGCAGGGGCCACCCTGACCAACATTGTATCATTCCCCAGCTATTAACCCTTACAGTCTCAAGGTAAATCAGCAGGGGACACCCTGACCAACATTGTATCATTCCCCAGCTATTAACCCTTACAGTCTCAAGGTAAATCAGCAGGGGCCACCCTGACCAACATTGTATCATTCCCCAGCTATTAACCCTTACAGTCTCAAGGTAAATCAGCAGGGGCCACCCTGACCAACATTGTATCATTCCCCAGCTATTAACCCTTACAGTCTCAAGGTAAATCAGCAGGGGCCACTCTGACCAACATTGTATCATTCCCCAGCTATTAACCCTTACAGTCTCAAGGTAAATCAGCAGGGGCCACCCTGACCAACATTGTATCATTCCCCAGCTATTAACCCTTACAGTCTCAAGGTAAATCAGCAGGGGCCACTCTGACCAACATTGTATCATTCCCCAGCTATTATGTAACCCGTTTAGGTGACCCAGGAGTGTTGTGTGCAGTACAGCAGTGATCATATTTACCCCTTTTACAGTGATTAACCCTCTCAGCACCGTATTGGTGCAATGCTAACGCTGGTTAATGCTTGGGCTGTGTTAGCTCATTGGGTGCTAAGGAGTATGTCGACCCCTGTGCTGCAAGGGTTAACAGAACCAATGGGATGCCCATGTTGGTGAGTTTGACATGAAGAGTGCTGCCTGTAGCATTCATCCCTAGGAAATTGAACTTAAAATGGATTCCTGTGAAATTACTTCACAGAAATAACATTATATCAGAGGCCACTCCTTCCAGCTCACTCTACCATACTACCTGTATTCTTGTCCCTACCTGCCTTGCATTTGAGGCTGGACTCACAGGAGGAGGGACTCACCTGGACCCTCCCCCAGCCTGCCTTTCAGGTGAGGCTGGACCCACCTGGACCCTCCCCCAGCCTGCCTTTCAGGTGAGGCTGAACCCATCTGGACCCTCCCCCAGCCTGCTTTTCAGGTGAGGCTGAACCCACCTGGACCCTCCCCCAGCCTGCCTTTCAGGTGAGGCTGAACCCACCTGGACCCTCCCCCAGCCTGCCTTTCAGGTGAGGCTGGACTCACAGGAGGAGTGACTCACCTGTCCCCTCCCCCAGCCTGCCTGCCTGCCTCCCTCCTCCCAGGTGTCCCGTCCCTGACGTATTGTGGGTGTCTCACTTGGCCAACTCCACACCAGGAAATACCTTCACCCCCCCATAAGACTACACTGCTTCTGACCTCTGACCCCTGCACCTTGAACCCAGCACAGGGGAGAAGAATGTAAGTTTACTTTGATCCCCCTTAAATCTTCCCAGGTAACACAGGTAAAGCCAGAAATTCCTTTAATCTTTCCCTACACCCCCTCCCTCCCTCCCTTCCTTCCATGCCTCCTTCCAAGTGTGAGGCAGCTTTTAATCCTATAGCTGTCAGGGGTCCCCTGTAACTCATCACAGACTCAAAGGGTTAATATTTTCTGTAAGGCTTTCTAAGCATATCTATAACCCCCTATCACTGTTTTGTTTTTTTCCTTTTTGTGACAAAGTTAATGTCTACAATTTCACCACCAAGTCAGCTGTGAAATGTAACTGTGATTTAATGCAATATTTAATGCAGGTATGACGGCTAAAGTAAGTCGTTAAAAGTCCACATTTTAATTTTAAGAGCAATGCAAGTAATGTGCAGCATTAAATCGATGGGGGTCATATGGCTAACTTTATTAATTTGCTACTCTGTACCGCATTCTTATATGTAAATATCATTAACTAGCCTTGTCGCCTTCGTTTCGGGGAGCTCAGAGCTTGTCAGCATCTCCGCCTGATTTAGGGTGATTTTAGGGAATTTTTCTAACTTTATTTATTTTTATACACCACAAATGTCACGATTTTGATCTAAAAAAATTAGATTTTAAAAAGTGGTGGCATTGGGTACAAATAAGTAGAAAAGAAAAAAAAATCTTTAAATTCCTAAAAATTCTCACTTTAGTGAATGTGCCTAATTATGGAGAGATTTTCGTAACCCCCCACCCTCAACATACGCGTTCTGGGATGTGGGCCACCGTGGGCTGTGTAAAAGAATCATGTAACTGGCATGGGGTGCGAAGGGTCAGTCTGAAGAATTGGCAAACCACCCGAGCATGAATGATGCCTGGCTGCTGCCAATCAGGGTTATTTACTAACCTGGGAATTCAAAGTGTATTTTAAGGCCAGAGCAGCTGAACTGAAGGCATCGCTGAACTTTTCCAGTTTGATTGTTTTAATCTTAAATTTAAAAGTCACTTTGAATTTTCTCATTGGTAAATAACCTTGTTTGTTTAGAAATCTGCGAGGTTTGTTTACAAAACTGAAAAACTTCTCCAAGCAAGCTACGTTTTTAAGTTGCTTTTCTGACATAAAACTTGCAATGACTTTGGATTCTCCACAATTCACGCTTCAGTAAATAATTTATTCTGATGGTTAAGCTTGAAAGGTGGCTGAGTGTGCTGGGTGTAGTAGTCTGCGAAGGCAGGAGTGTCTGTTTTTGCTGATGTCTGGGTGTTATTGGTCATTGTTCAGTAGAACGTGCTTAGTCAGCGTGCTATTTCCATGATTCATGGCTTTGTCCCAGGCTGCACGTATGTGGAGACACTGTGCACTGATTTTAGGCAGGGTCATATTTTCTGAATAATCCACCTGATTCTCACTGTGTGATTTTGGATAAAATTCCTGTCCCGGGGGAATACTGTAGGGTAAATCTGCTTCACTGCGAGTCCCAGAGAAGTGACCCTGTCTTGTTACGTAGGTAGGTTAAATGTACCTTCCGCGTTGTATGTTACTTTGCCTCCCCATAATACCCTGGGCAATTCATGTTTTGCATTTTCTGTAAAAGCGCAGTATGTGTGCAAGAGTCATACATGCAACTCTAAAAAAGGATTAAAGGAACACTATAAACACCATGACCACCGCAACACACTGAGTGTCTTGGCATCCTCCCACAGTAAGTAGTCAAATGGTTTGAAAATTTACATGGGGTCCGCTGAGGGTGTGCCCTTGCTGGTTCTGAAATCGGAAGCCCCTGTACTGAGCCAAACCTTGAGGTGCCGAGCCACACTGATTGGCTGAGAGTGCTCCGCTGACGCCCTTCGACAAATAGCTGGCCGTATACGCAAGGCCTGGCTTGGTGGAGCTAATCGTAACTCCTTGCAGGAGACAGACAGGTACTCTGTGGACCCCAGATTAGTTTCATAAACCATTCTGAAACTGTTTAATTACTTACTATAACCACTACTGGGTGCACTTGTCGTGTTCCTGCAACTAATTTACATGTTATCTAAATTTAAAAGCCCGCTAATAAGATTAAAAAAAATAAACCAGAAAAAGCACAATCAATAGATATATGGTTGTACAAAAACGTCATTAAAGTTCCACTTAGACTCAAACTAACAGATTTAATGCACACTGTGAGAGTTAAATAAATACCTACATTCTTACCAGATTATTAGCTCTGGCTAAACTCTTGTTCCTGCTACATCCCCACAACCTTGGCCAAGCAGCTCAAATTTCAAGCTCTTTGGGGGTCTCCCGGTAGAAATATAATTGTTTACCCCGTACACCCATATCCAACCACACAGAAGGTTTATATTTCGTATGAGGTCATTTTGTTGCATTTATGACATTCTAGTTACTCCAGATCATGCAGGTACTTCAGTGATAAAACTCTTACCTTCTATTGTAGCACAATATAATAACTCCATGGCTCTGAAAAAGTCAGTAAAAAATATAGTTTCGTCCACCTTATATAAAACGAATGACGCATGTCAAAAATGTCTGTGTTTATGTGAACTGCATGTCATGCAGAATATTTTTTTTTTTTTTAAATCAACAAAAAACTGGTTTGTTGTAAAGAAGAATTTAGTGCACTAATGGCCTGTACGGGACATTTTTAAACCATTAGTAGAAACCTTTCTAAACAGGGCTCTTCAAATCCTTCTCATTGAGCTGTAATGCTGTCACAGAACGTCTATGGGAGGGCTTGCTGTAGCTTCAGATACTAGATCTGCAGCTATTTATTGTATACGAAGATGTCATACACCCGCAAAGACAGCCTTCAAAATCAATTACATGCACATTTTATTGGGGGATGGTATATCTATTGTATTACTTTAAAAGTCGAGTGCAGCTCAGAGGTAAAGTAGGCATGCTCTGCTTATAATGAGGTATGTTCACCTATTTATCTTAATGCACCCGAAGTACATCGTTTCTGTAAGCTGAGATATAGTCATAATGCCATTAACCTGTGACTAGTTTCCTTGCTGCATATTTTTTTTGGGTGATTTGTGATGTATATCTTTAGTCCTTCTCTCTCTTACTGAAGTTTTTGTTTTTTTTGTTGAAGATGGAGTGATCATGGACTCGGAAGGAGGGTACGAGACAGTACAGGAGGATGAGAGGTGCCATCTTGGCAGAGGCAGGAGTGTCACACATCAACAAAATATAGTTCAACCAAGCCAGGGTGCTGCAGAGACTTCTGGAAGAGATGAAACAATCATGGAATCTACAGACTTTCTTTTGGATGATAATGGGCGGGGTATTGAGAGTAACCTTGTGGGCAACATAGGAATACTAAATACAGTAACTGGAAATTATGAAGTCCAGGCCACCGGCCAGCCACGTGAGCTCCATCCAACCAGAGATATCACCGGCCGGCCATGTGACCTCTCTCCAAACAGTGATTTAAGAGAAAATGTACACACTAAAAGTTATCTAGACAACCTGGAGATGGTCTGTGGTGAAACGGAGCTAGGCAATGAGGAAGAAAAGACTGTTAACAAAGAGACAGTGAAAGTCCTGGTGGAACCACAGAGTGTTATTGAGACCGATAGTGAGGAGAGTGAAGATTGGGAGACAGCCAGTGAGGAGAATTTTACTTTTGGGGATGAAACAGAGGCTATAAATATAGAGCCCTCAAGTGCTGAGTTAGAGATAGCCAGTGAGGAATGTAAAGAAGACACTATAATGAAACAGTCCAAGATTAATGAGGCATCCATTGAACAGACAAATAAAGCCAGAGTGGAGACTGATTGTGAAGATAACAGTACTTCTCAGAGTAATTATAATGAAACAGAGGCTGTCCATAAAGAGACCATTTGGGAGGTTGCTAAGGCTGACTGTGAAGATACAGTAGAAGAGGTTACTAAGGCTGACTGTGAAGGCACAGTTGACGTTGACAGCAGAGACACAGCCAGGGAAGTAACTGAAGCTAACAGCAAGGAGACAGTCAAGGAGGTTATCAAAGCTGACCGCAAGAACACAACTGGGGAGGTTACCGAGGTTCAAAGCAAAGATAACGCCAGGGAGATGACCAAAGAAGATAAAAAAGAGACAGTTAAGGAGATGGCTGGAGATTATTGCAAGAACACCATCAAGGAAGTGATGGTGGATGACCGCATGGAGACAACCAAGGAAATGACAGAGGCTGGCAGCAACGAGACATCAACGCAAGTCCCCAGAGAAGACGGCAAGCAGGCATCCGAAGAAGTGATCGAGGCTGGCAGCCATGAGATATCGGAGGAAGTGATCAAGGCTGGTGGCCAAGAGGCATCTGAGGAAGTGATCGAGGCTGGTGGCCAAGAGGCATCTGAGGAAGTGATCGAGGCTGGTGGCCAAGAGGCATCTGAGGAAGTGATCGAGGCTGGTGGCCAAGAGGCATCTGAGGAAGTGATCGAGGCTGGTGGCCAAGAGGCATCTGAGGAAGTGATCGAGGCTGGTGGCCATGAGATATCGGAGGAAGTGATTGAAACTGGTGGCCAAGAGGCATCTGAGGAAGTGATCGAGGCTGGTGGCCAAGAGGCATCTGAGGAAGTGATCGAGGCTGGTGGCCAAGAGGCATCTGAGGAAGTGATCGAGGCTGGTGGCCAAGAGGCATCTGAGGAAGTGATCGAGGCTGGTGGCCAAGAGGCATCTGAGGAAGTGAACGAGGCTGGCGGCCAAGAGGTATCTGAGCAAGTGATCGAGGCTGGCGGCCAAGAGGCACCGGAGGAAGTGATCGAGGCTGGCGGCCAAGAGGCACCGGAGGAAGTGATCGAGGCTGGCGGCCAAGAGGCACCGGAGGAAGAGATCGAGGCTGGCGGCCAAGAGGCACCGGAGGAAGTGATCGAGGCTGGCGGCCAAGAGGCACCGGAGGAAGTGATCGAGGCTGGCGGCCAAGAGGCACCGGAGGAAGTGATCGAGGCTGGCGGCCAAGAGGCACCGGAGGAAGTGATCGAGGCTGGCGGCCAAGAGGCACCGGAGGAAGTGATCGAGGCTGGCGGCCAAGAGGCACCGGAGGAAGTGATCGAGGCTGGCGGCCAAGAGGCACCGGAGGAAGTGATCGAGGCTGGCATTAAGACTGCTGGCAGTGAGGATATTGACAGAGAGACAGACCAGGACAGAGACACACTTTGCGCAGAGACAAGTGTTGATGACTTAAAGAAAGAAGAGGTGATTAGTAAAGAGACACAGACCGTAATTGAAGTAAATATGGTACAGTCTGGTATATTAACAGAACTGAGACAGGCCAGCAATGAAAAAAATGAGCCGGTCTTACAAGAAACATCTCACCAGAAATTAGATTTGGAGGTTAGTGCAGAAGAATGGGAAATAAAAGATGAATATGGAGATTATCTGGTTGTTGCAGAGAGTGTAGACTCTGGAAATAAAAGTCCAGTTGAGACTTCAGCAGAGGTCCCTTACACTGTGTGGAGACCAGGAGATGAACTCAATGAAGACTTTATAAGTGAAAGAAAGCTGGACTTAGTGTTGGCGGAGACACAAAGTGGTGATAAAGAGATAGACATGGAGGTTACTGAAAGTGATGCAGTCATTCAAAACAGAGAAATGCATACTGAAGAAGTCCAAGACGAAAGCAAAAAACAAACGTCAATTGGAGAGAGGGACAAAACTGAAAATGAGGTTTTATTTGAGAATGAGCAAAAACGAACTAGTAAACAGTTATTGATGGGGCTAAGACAATTGGCAGATAAGACTGACCAGCAGACTCAAAATGTTGCAAGTGAGGGAGCCATTTATAGCTCTGACTCTACTAATTTGGGAAAGTTGGAAGAGTTTGTATCGTCTGATCTCCGTTCTCAGTCTCCTACTCCTGAGAGCAATGTGCTTGAAAAAACGCAAAAAGAGGATGTTGTACTGTGGTATTCTGATGGACAGTCTGTAAGTGTGGCTCAGTCCCCAGACTTTATCAATGTAGATGAAATTAAGCTGAATCCAGAAAATCTACAAGTGGACCTGGAGGGAAACGTGCACACATCTGGGGTGGTTCAAAGCAGTCAGACTTGTAAAAGTAAGTTTCAGGTTCTAGGAGATATTTCCCAGGATGTTGGTACATCAATTGAAGGTACAATGTTGCATCCTATTTTAGAGGATACACACAATACATATTTACAACCAGAATACCAGACTGGCTTGAAACAGATTGAAGAAATGTTTTCCCAAAAGACGATGGGCAGCATCACTCATCAGCATCATATGTCAAATGAAAATGTCTATCACAAACCTAATGAAGGCAATGTTGTAAAGATAAAGGATATAGAGACATGTGAATCTAGTACACAAAATGTTCTAAGTCAGGAGAATAATCCATACCGCGGCAGTGAACTGGAGGTAGAAAGTGGCCACCTTCAATTTGGTGTTCTTAGTGAGTGTCCTATCACAAATGATACAACCCAGATTCTAAAACATCCTGACAATATTTTGAATTTTCCTGCTCTACAGACCACCGATTCACAGTCAACTGTAACTAAGAGGGAAGTGGTGAAAACCACAGGAAGTCCTATTTTCAGTACCAATATTGCTAATGCAGATGGTAGTACTCTTAAAGAACCCAATACTGACAATACAGCTAGGGATACATTATCAAGAACTAAGTTCACTTTCTGCCCCATGCAGATATTTAACCCAACACTACTTCTCAGTCATAGTCCAGAGGAACCTGGATTTTACTCAGAAGGACAAGTCACAGAGGGGCTGAAGGATCTTACCAAATATGCAATTGGATCTCTACCTGAAGAGGAAAGCCAAAATCCACTGATAACGAGCCAGTTTAGTAATCATCCCAGTGAATCTGGTGAAACCAGTGATTCTGATGAAAGCACTACCATAAAACAACCCAAAGGTCAGTATGTTTCTCCTTTGTGGCTGCCTCCTCGTCCTTCCCGCTATGTGGCTAATTCTGAGGCATCTTCCAAAAGAAGGAATTATCCACAAGCTAGGCCAGCAGAAAGCTCTTTGATGAGGAGAGCCACTGTAAGACACAAAAGGAACAGCTATGTAGATCCCAACCAGCCTTACAAGGGATTTGGTCCTGTGAATCCTCTTCGTGCACCAATTCATTCACAAGAAACCAGAAGCAATAGTGAACTACAGTCTGGGCCCAAGAGTTCACCACAAACTGGCACTCTGATTCGACAGTCCAAGATTTCAGAAGATGCACCGTCTGTATTTGGGTATCCCAGGAACAAAGCCCCCATGGACATGTTAAATGGTAAGTTGAAGACCATGTTATGTTTCTCTGCAGAAAAGGTTCTAGGTTTTTTTCCATTCAGTTTTTGATTGGACTCTTTCCCGGCTCAATATTTATGAATTTCCTCAGCTGTGTTCAAATACGGATATCCATGAACCCTGGAATATTAATTACACGTTTGAAGAACACACTCATAGTTTATCAGGTATTATTTCTGCCATTATTTAAATGGCTAATGCAAACAAAAGTGTTTTAAGAATATACTGTTTTTGGTCAGGGTTACCCTTCCTATCCTGGACTCCCCTCCCCAATTAAATTTATTAAATTAAATTTATTAAAATGTACCTCTGTTCCAGTGCTGAGCCCAATCCTCTAGTGATGTCACTCCCCCCTTGATGGGTGTCAGGGAGGATGGGCTCAGGGGAGGACATGTGCCACACAGAAGGGAGTATGCTGCCATTGACTGTCGCTAGCGTGCTGACTGCGTGCTCCAAACATGCCCAGAACTGACCATAGCCAGCTGTTACCCTTGCATAGAGCTGGTTAATGATGCCCCAGTGACACTGATCATACAGACTCCAGGCACCATGACCACTGCAAATCACTGAGTTACCCTTTAACTACATTGTAACATTGTCCAAATGCTTGAGGAAGAAAATGTTTTCGGGAGTCATTAGCAAGATTTTAGGCTTAAAGAGCTACTGCTGCTCAATCTAACTTGCAGCTGCCGTGATTGCTGCGTGTGAACCTGCGGCAGCCGCAAGTTGGATTTATCAGCAGTTTGTACGATAACTGTAAAGTCAGCTAAAAACCTTAATTTTCATAAAGAAGATAGATATATGTAATTTAGAAAAAGATATATATATCATTGCGTTTCTTATATGCAACTGTTGTCGTTTTGTGAAAGCATTTTCCTTGGAGGCTGAGTGGGCTCACATTGATCTGGTTTTTGTTTTTGGGGGGGGGGGTTTGGTTTTTTTTTTTTGTGTGTTTGGTTAAATATACAAATCCTATATTTTATTATTGACCAATTTTTCATTTCATAAACATGAGAATTGCAATCTGATTGAAATATGGTAATTGTTTACAGAATATTGTCATTCCAGACACAATTTGGTGTTTAGTTAATGACGCCTCAGGCTCGACATCAGAATCCTCCCAGATATTCTAATGATTGAACGTGTGTATGTGATACAGGGCTTAACATTTGAAGTCCTTTTGATTTTAGCCAGGCCTTAAGTTACTTGCCACTGCATGTTATAGCATTCTTACTGAGGGTGATTTTTCACTCTCCAGTGGCCACTGGAAAATTTAAACTCTGTGTGTGTGTATTGATCAGCCACAACATTAAAACACCTGCCTAATATCATTTCTGTCCCAATCATACTTCCAAAACTCTACAAGACCTTTGAACGTGTCCTGTGGTATCTGGCATCAGGGTTATGGTCCCAAGGTACTTTGATGCAAGTCTGAAGCAGGTCTTTTTGTACAGAAGAGCTACTGTAGCTCAAATTTCTGAAAATAGTAATGCTAGCCATGATGGAAAGGTGTCAGGTGAACACAGTGCATTGCAGTTTGCTGTGTATGGAGCTGCATAGCCACGTACCATTCAAAGTGACCATAAAAACCCCTATCCACTGCTGAAAGTAGTTAAAATCTCTTTTAATGGGGACATGAGCACCAGAACTGGAACATGTTCTGATGAATCACGTTTTCTTTTAGACCTGGTGGAAGACAGTTTGTGTGCATTGTGTACTTCAGAGGAGAGATGGTAACAGGATGCACTATGGAATTTAGTAGGCAGCAAGTGAACAGTCCGTTCTTGAATTTCATGTGTTGGAAGCAGGAAAAATGGGCAAGGGAAAAGATCTGAGTGACTATGACAAGAGCCATGGCTAGATAACTAGGTCAGAGCATCTCCAAATTGGCAAGTCTTGTGGAGTGTCCCCAGTATGCAGTGGTTACTAACTACCAAAAGTGGTGCAAGAAAGGACCACAGGTAAAAAGGCATCTGGGTCATGAGCGTCCAAGGCTCATTGATGCACATCGGGAGCGAAGGCTAGCCTGCTTGTCCGATCACACTGAAGATACTGTAACTAAAATTGCTGAAAAACCTAATGCTGGCCATGAACGAAAGGTGTCGGAACACACATTGTATCGCAGTTTGCTTTGTATGGGGCTGCATGGCTCAGACCAATCAGAGTGCTGATAATGACTTTTGTGTGTTCTGCTTGAGAATCTTGGGTCCTGGCATTCTCGTGCATGTTATTTTGACATGTACCATCTACCTACAGATTGTTGCAAACCAGGTACTGCCCTTAATGGCAATGTGTGCCCTCTTTTGGCAGGATAATGCATCCTGCCACACTACAAAATTGTTCAGGAATGGTTTGAGGAACATGACAGTTGTCCTCCAAATTTCCCAGATCTCAATCTAGTTAAGCATCTGTGGGATGTGCTGGAACATTAATTCAAACCATGGAGGCCCCACCTCGCAACTTGAAGGACTTAAAAGACCTGCCACTAATGCCTTGGTGTCAGATACCACAGGACACATTCAGAGGTCTTGTGAAGTCCATGCCTCAACGCTCAGAGCTGTTTTTGGCAGCACAAAGGGGAACTACACCATATTAGGCAGGAGGTTTCAGTGTTGTGGCCGATCTGTGTGTATGTAGTATTAGCCCTGTGTATATTGCTTAATAAAATAAAAGAAATTATACAGCAGCATGTGGCATTTAGTAGTAAATATGAAACATCTGGTGAATATTGCTCATATGAATTAAATGTTGTTTTTCTGATTTTACGTACAATGAGAGCCTTGAGACCTAGACCAGCAGGATCAAGCTTTCCATTTAAAACAACGTGGTTTTGGAAACTGTGGTTTTGATGACCCCCTGAGGCGATCTACCTACAATAACTTTGGTCAGAGGTTATATTCTTGTACTGTGATGCAATGTTCTATTTTATGATTTATATTTTATGTTGCTGCAGAGGAAGATTCTGTTGTAAAGGAAACGAGGCCAAGATTCTCGGAGTCTGTTGTCCAAAGGTAGGGCACTGGACGTCCTGTGGTTTTTGGGTGTTTCCTCTTAAGGTTAAACATTGCAATTGCAAGAAGAAAAGGGATGATGGGTGGCTACTTAATTAGGCTGAAGAACAGCGGTAGGCAACCTTTGACCCTCCAGATATTATGGTCTACATCTCCCATATTGCTCTAAGAGGCTTAATACTGGCAAAGCATCAGGCAAGATGTAGGTCACAACATCTGGAGTGCTGTAGGTTACCTACCCCTACTGTAGAAGATATATAAACCTGTCAATTGAAGGACGCCCACACTGCAGGTTTGACAGGACATCTACTGTCCGACATCAGGTCAAACCATGCAGAAACAAAGAGCAGGTTAATCCATGTAAATTCAAACAAATGTAGACAAATGTACAAACCGTGATCCTTGGACAGCTTTGACTGCAGACCCAACTAGAGCCCCACAATGCAGAAAACTAGGGTGTTTTCAGGGTTATTAAAACCAAATTCAAAGTGGGAAAAATTCGACAAATCACCTATGTTTATGACTGTTTCGAACTAAAATGTGTCATTCTCTTGTATATTATCCTTTCACAGATACAATTATTCTCTGTTATAGTCTTCAGTAATTTAACTTTTTTTTTAAAAGTTCGCAGCCTTTAACTTGTGTGAATAAAGTGCAAACTTCTCTTATTATTCCACTGGTTTATAGTTGGGGTTAAAGATCAACAAAGCAGATTAAAAAGATATTCAAATAAATCACACTGTTCATAAAAGGAAAGAACAGTGGCTTTTGATATTGTGCCCTTCGGTTTCCGTATGTGACTCACCCAATATTATTCCAAGTTATGCTGAATTCTCCAGTTAAGGAGAAAGGGCAAAGTCTGAATTTATTCAAGGTGAATAATTTCTCACTGCGTCATAGTAAATCCTTCCTTAAACTGAGATTCTTGGCAAGGAGTTACCTTGATATGTATTTCACAGTCTGATAGTTTATATTTTATTTATATATTTTTTTTTACTATTTCATGTTGTTTGTCAGCAGCCGTTTAGTGAATTAATATGTAGATCTAATATAATAGTGCTCGTTGGAGGCAATCTGTAATAGCCTCCTGAGATGCAGCCCATAAACTTGTGTCCTCTGTACTAGACATTTTGTTCACATGCATTTCCTTTTATTCTTTTGAGCTACTCTATCAATCCCTACTGTATTGTAAAGAGGACATCCTGGGCTTTCCAGTGATATGACATGTGATAGGCTGGGATGCTGGCAGGTTGCTCTTCCTTTTCATAAAAAATGGAAAGAAATTGGAAGACCAATTTTTTTATTTTTTTATTTATTTTTTTCTTCTTCTCAGTTTCCAGGAGGATATAGTGGCCAGGGTGAGGCTTCATGATGCACACAATAGACTTGAATCTCAGTTGAGAAACAGTGACCAGCACTAATGAAATGATAAGCTGGTTCGCATGACGCTTTTATGTCCACTGATGCGAACCGTCCGTGGTCTGCAAGTCTGGCCAACATATCCCAGTCCACAAGGACATTTAATGCGTTATAAGAAAATTAGTTGTGCAAAGCATCTCATTTTTTTCCAGGATCAACAAGGTTTCCTTGTCACCAGAGAAGAGCGGGTGGCTAAAATAGCTAGTTATATCATGTTTTATATAAAAAAAAAAATCACGCTAACAACCAGTGGAGACCCCCCAAAAATGCCCAAGATCCAATTTTGGGTCCTTAATCAAAGAGTTTGAAATCGTGCCGTGTAGTACATATCAGAAGTATAATAACCGTGCAACTGGAGGTTTCCAACTCTTGGTTTAAGGATCCAAATTTGGATCTCCAATTCTGCACCTCCTCTTCCATATTAGCGATCCCTTAGTAGAGGTTGTGAAATAACTAGCATAATATCTTGTCTCTGGATCATAGTCTAAGATGTCAATACATGCAGATCCTGACTAAGACGTTTTATCTTGCAAACATTTTCAGTCGTATATTTCTGGTACTTTAATGTATTTGCATATTAATTAATTGTATATTGACCTTTCTTGTAGAGACAAAAATTCCCGGGTCCTGAATCCTCTATCCGAAGCCACGTGGGATTTCCAGAGACGCCAGTCAAAGCTCATCAACAACTGTAGGTTACAAGTTAGACTTTTTCAACTGCCCAAATACAAAAACTTTTAAAAATAAAATTCACTGTTTAATAGAACCGTGAAAGGAAAACATGTATGCAATAAATTGTGCATTTTTTTTCATTTGGTATACATTTAAAATCAACTTGCAATAGCTGCAGATCCCTTGTCTGCAACCTTTGAAAGTGCTCCCCTTCTAATCCCGCCCAGACTTTCTGTGGCTGTCCAATCACAGACTCCCAATACAGCTCAATGAGAAGTCTTTGCAAGGCAGGTGCTCTGGGCAATTGCACGGATCTCCACTGATCTAACCAAACTAGGAAGTCACAGGACTCGTTGACTAATTGATAGCCAGGGGGTATAACAGTTAATTTCTAAAATTATATATTCCATTGATATCTGCACTTTTTGTAAATTTGAAAAAAAAGAGAACAAGCTCTTCATACATAAAAAAAACTTCAACAAGCTAAAGATTTTTAGGGGTCTGGAGTGTCCCTTAAAGGGGAGGGAAGGGGTTTGACTTTCCTCTTCAGATCCTAGTGAAAACTCCTGGGGGACATTGAAGGCATATTAGAAAGAGAATTATTGTATAGTTTGTCTTGGAAAAATGTGTCTACTTCCATTTCTGGTACAAGTTAGCCAAACAAAATATGATCTTGTAGTGGCCATATGTCAGAACAACATTTCAACCTTTCTATTTATTGAATTTTGTTTTCCCACTCCCCCCCCCCGCCCCCCCAGTACAGATATAAACTGTATCCTAGTAGAGATTTGACAGGGGGGGGAGGGTGAAAAGATAAGGAATCTGGTCTGGGGGAGCTGTTGTGGGTTTCCAGATTTCATTCCATAAAAGCACATTGCACATCGTAGGATTCGAAGCTCCTGGCAGGAGATAAACCAAGTCCCACTCACAACCTACTAGGATCGTTGGAGACTGATCGTTGGAGACAGAAAGCCAAGCTTATAAGCTAATGCTGCCAACCTCGATTTTGTTGGCTTGTGGGGTTATGGATAAGCTTTAATGGGGGATATGCCTTTTGGGGTTAATAGAGATGAAGGATGATAGGAAGGTCTTTGTTGAAGAATATCCTAGGACAAAGTATTAAGGGTTGGAGAACATTATAGGAACTGTAATTCTGAAATATCTTGGTTATAGTTGGTTCTTCCAGTACAGAGAATAGGAATGTTCTTCTAATAATGGAGTACCTGTGAGGCTGAAAGATGCAGGAGCTGCTGAGGGAAGGGCAGGCATGCTGACTGAGCTCTTCATAGCCCACTCGATGCATGTAGAGACTTCTGTTTTGGTCTGAGATTGTTGGTCATTTTATTGCTATATTAGAAGCAATCTATGAAACAAATGCATTTATTAACCATTCCTATGTCTCTCCAATCCCCAGCCAACCTCCTGTATCAGGAATACAGTGATGTGGCTCAAAACCAAGAAATCCAGAGACAGAAACCTCAGGACTCTCCATCAGAAGAAAAGGATCCTGGATCCCCCAGGCTGCGACGCCGTGCACTGTCTTCCCAAGACTCCTACCTACAGCGTCTGTCTGTGTCTTCGGCTGACTCACTCTGGCAGGACATCCCTGTGATACGGGGTAGCTCAACCTTACTTTCCATGACCCGCGATGAGCAGAAACTGCAAGAGGTAGAAAGCTCTCGACATATGTGTAAAGACAAGTTATGGCTGCCCTGGCTAGTGTTGCCCATATTGCGCTCTACAGGGAGCAGGGGAGCCCGTATTGCCGTCTTCTACAGGGAGGAGGGGAGCCCGTATTCTACAGGGAGGAGGGGAGCCCGTATTCTACAGGGAGGAGGGGAGCCCGTATTCTACAGGGAGGAGGGGAGCCCGTATTCTACAGGGAGGAGGGGAGCCCGTATTCTACAGGGAGCAGAAAAGCTGGGGTTGTAATAGGTGCACATAGAACTCCACACATACTTCCCTTGTTCGTTTTTTTTTGTTTGTTTGTTTTTTAACCCCAGTCTCGGCTGGTTTTGTCTTCTCTCCCTCAGGCGAAGTTTGAACTGATCATGTCGGAGGCGCTCTATTTGCGCAGCCTGAACATCGCTGTTGATCACTTTCAGCGTAACCCAGAGCTGCAAGAGGTTCTCAGCGCTCAGGATCGCCAGTGGCTGTTCTCTCGTCTTACTGAAGTGCGAGAAGCCAGTTCTGAGTGAGTTCCTAAACACAGTTTACTTTTATTATAATTCGGAGCAATTGATCTCCATGGAAACTAATGCAATGAGTCAGATGATCTCTTATTGCCTGTTTTAGAAACAAACTCCCACCATGCCTAGATATGATCTTACAGACGTGAAAATATAATTGTAAGCTTGTGGACTCTGAGTGAAACACAATACTTGTCTGTTTGAGGGAGTATAAAAGAAAGAAGAGGTTGGATTGCTGTTATTTATAGTCCATGCTGAGAGATGATTGGTTGGATTGCTGTTATTTATAGTCCATGCTGAGAGATGATTGGTTGGATCGCTGTTATTTATAGTCTATCCCAGTGGTTCCCAAACTTTTTAGGTTCAAGGCGTCCATAATATTTCAATATTTTTCCAAGGCGCCCCAAGTCAAAACTATTTTCTTGGTTATATATATATATATATATATATCGCAGTGGCATATACTGGGCCCCTGTTCGACAGAAATGCTTGCCGTTTAAGCGCAGATCCAGAACCTAATCTTGGGAGGGGCACTGGTATATTATTTAAAGAAACAATCCAGACACAATAACCACTACAGCACTTTATGGTGCCAGTACTGCATGAACAGTAGTATGTGTGTATGGGGGGCAGTGTGTGTGTGTATGGGGGAGTTATTGTGTCTCTGTGGGGGCAGGAGGGCAAATAAATATATTAAAACCATTTTTTTTAAATTAAAATATATATCTATATATTATTAATTTTAATTTCCCCCCTCCCTGTTTACCTTTGCCTGGGATGAAGGACAATGCTAATCCCTGGTGGTCTGGTGGGGAAGCCCTTGCGGTCCCAGTGGTGAGAGTGAACTCTAGCAGCCTCAGGAGCTGCTAGAGTTCACTCTCGCGAGATTTAGAGCGTTGCCGTGGTAACATTGGCAACGCTCCGAGCTCACGAGATGAGAACCCGGCAGAGCTATAGGTTAGAGCTCCCCGGGTCCTCACTGCCTCCCCCGGCTGCCAGCATTACACTGCTAGCAGGCCGGTGACGGCAAGGCCGGCGGGTCCATAAGTCGGCGCACCGGCCCTTGGGGCGCTAGATCAGAGTGACTGGAAGGAGGTGGGCACACAGCGCTCCATCCTGCCAGGCACTCTGTGTAGTGTGGCCGAGCGGAGCAGTGTGCACTGCGGTACAGGAACTTCCTGTCAGTCTGGCCGGGTACAGGAAACACAAGTTGCTGTACCGCGGTCTGCTCCACTCAGCCACGCTACAATAAAGGGGACCGGGGGGGAGAGAGGGGCACTAAGGGACGGGTGAAGAGGTGGTAAGGAACACTATGGGATGGGCGTTGGTGGAAGAACACTATAGGGAGGGGGGAAAAGAACACTATGGGACAGGGGGAGGTGGGGGGCAAAGAACACTATGGAGGCAGAAAGAGGAACATTTTGGGGTTGCACTAAGATACAAGGGAGGGAAGGAAAAAGGGAACACTGGTAAGGGGGGACCCACTAAAATGGGGGCACATGGGAATGGGGGGGTACTAAGACAGGTAAGAGTGGGAGAGAAACATGTGGACATGGAGGAGAGAGGTACACGGGGGGGCTGAGTGGGGAGAAATACACACAGATGGGCCTGGGGGTGAGCGTTCACAGAGGGGCTGTGGATGAAAGCGCCACACAGAAGGGCCTGGGTGTAGAAATACAAAAGGGTCTGGGGGTGAAAGAGACAGAGGGGCTGGAGAAGAGGAAAAAGAGATATAGAGGGGCTGGTGGTAAAAGAGAAACACACAAATAAGCTGGTAAAAGTAAAAGAGACAAAGGTGCTGGGAGAGGAGACACACAATGGGGGGTTGTAAGAGATAAACAAGGGAGGTGATGATACACAATGGGGAAAAATAGGGGATAAGATACACTAAAGGGGGCAAGACCTTTAAAAAAGGGGATAAGAAACAAAAGGTGGGTTAAGGGGCAGATGCTTTTGGGTGGGTGGGATGTGTAGCCAAAATCCTCTAAGCCTGTGTACCTAAAAATCCTTGCACCAGCCCTGGGTGAGGGAGATCTCTGATCTCACCTCAGGTCCTGCAGAGTCAGCAGGGGAGAGGGAAACACAGTTCCCGGTGCTATGATCATAAGATCATGGCACCGGGGAAATATCTCACGGCGTCCATGTGTGCACACAGTTTGGGAACCGCTGGTCTATGCTGAGAGATGATTGGTTGGATTGCTGTTATTTATAGTCTGTGCTGATAGATGATTGGTTGGATCGCTGTTTTTTATAGTTCATGCTGAGAGATTATTGGTTGGATTGCTTGCATTTATAGTCTATGCCAGTGGTTCCCAAACTTTTTAGGTCCAAGACGCCCTTAATATTTAAATATATTTTCAAGGCACTCCAAGCCAAAATTTCTAGGTTGTATATCTGTACAGCACAGCGGGATTTACTGGCGCTCTATTGTAATGTATAGTGTTGGTGTTTGAAGGGGTGCCTGTATATAGTTCTAGTGTTTTAATACAGGGGTGTGTTTGTTGTAATGTTCACTTTTAAATGCGGTTGTACATTTGTGTGAAGTATTTGTATTTGAGTGAATGGGTGTGTTTGTATGTAATATTTGTATTTAATTGCAAGAGTGTGTTTGTATGTTGTGCTGGTGACTGCTTGGAGACGCACACGCACGCACATGCGCACACACCATGTCCCAGATACACACACTGACATAAAAATACACATCTCATTGACAGCCGCTAGAGGTGCTTGCGTGATTCTCACTGTGAAAATCACAGTGAGAAGACGCCAGCGTCCAGAGGAAAGCATTGTAAATGCTTTCCTATGAACTGGCTGAATTTGCGCAAAGCTCCTGCTGCGCATGCGCATTCAGCCGATGATGTCGTTATGAAGGAGGAGAGGAGGAGGAGAGCTCCCCGCCTGGTGCTGGAGAAAGGTAAGATTTTAACCCCTTCCTCTCCCCAGAGCCCGGCGGGAGGGGGACCCTGAGGGTGGGGGCACCCTCAGGGCACTATAGTGCCAGGAAAATGAGTATGTTTGTTTTCCTGGCACTATAGTGGTCCTTTTAAATATATGTCCTGGTCCTGCTGCTGGTGGGAATGAGAGGTCTGGAGCAGCTCCTGGAGTGCTCCTCTCCCCTCATGCTGCGGCTGCCTCCTCTCTCTCCCGCCCTCTCTCCCTGCATGACGCTGGGAAGAATTGACAGGCTGTCACTTCCTCACTACAGGGGCCTGGTCGCAGTCTTAAAGGACCTCAGAACTCAACGGGGCCCAATTTAGCAGTTATGTTTCCCCGGTGCTATAATCATAGCACCAGGAAAACATTCCGCAGCACCCCTGTGTGCCCATCGCAGCACCACAGGGCGCCGTGGCACACAGTTTGGGAACTGCTGGTCTATGCTGAGAGATGATTGGTTGGATTGCCTTTATTTCTAGTCTATGCTAAGAGATGATTGGTTGGATTGCCTTTATTTCTAATCTATGCTGAGAGGTGATTGTTGTCACCAGCTGTACCTGTGCATTCCTCCTCTTTGCAGCTATTGAGATTAAAAAAAAAAAAAATTGCAAATAGATACTTTGTGGTAAAATAAACAATAGTTTGACATTAAAGGAATCCTATAGTGCCCGGAAAACAAAGCCGTTTTACTGGCACTATAGGATTAATAGGTCCCACCCTCTCGAAGGGCTTAAGGGGTTTTAACCCCTAATTTAATTCCCTGGTGGTCCGGTGGTGATATCCGGTCTGAAGCTCCGTAGTGTTGTGCAGAGCTGCAGACCATGTATATTGCGAGACCCGGTCAGAGCGTTGCCATGGTAACCTGTGGCAACGCTCTGATTGGCCAGATCTTGCCAGACACATGGTCTGCAGCACTGCGGAGCTGTAGATCAGCGGCCAAGGGTGCTCTCCATCACTGCCTGGCAGCCAGTAGGGGCCTTGAACCCGGCGGCATATCGAGCAAGCCGCCGGGTCCCTTCCTGGTGTCAGGTCCTTGGTCACTGACCGAGGGCCCGACAGTCTGCCCTAAGGTTTAGGCGGCCGCGAGGCCTTTGGATTCCGGAAGCCCTCTAGTGGCTGTCTGGTAGACAGCCACTGAGGGCAGACTTAGAGCTGCAATGTAAACATTCTAGTTTCTCTGGCACTAAGTGCAAAAGGGACACCACACCCAGACCACTTCAATGAGCTGAAGTGGTCTGGGTGCCTACAGTGTCCCTTTAAATATGACTGTCCTTTCCTGTTAAAAAAAAGAAAGTAGATTGTACCTAGTAGCCATTATAAATGTTTTATTCCGTACTGCCTTTTAAATTAAGATGTGGCTTTTAGACTTATGTCTGTCCCCGCCTGTATTTTTACCAGCTTCCTGTTTGACCTGGAAGAGGAATTTGAGAGCGATATGTACAACTTCCAGGTGTGTAACGTGGTGATAACCCATGTTCCGAATTTTCGCAAAGTCTACCTGCCATACGTCACCAACCAGAGCTACCAGGAAACGACCTACCAGCGGTTGCTGTAAGGGACACTTCTCTTATGGGTTTATGGGCAAGGGTTGTGCTACTTGGAATTTGTTACTGGATTATTGTAATGTCATCTGATTTTAAAGGAAAACTGTCATTTTTATTCTAAAAAACAAAAGGTAAACATGTTACTCCAAGAATCCTAACACAGTCTGATGTAGAACCTGCTGTCGTGATTATGGTGCAAGGGGTACTCTGGCCCGCTCCCTATTTGTCATCTTACCTAGGTCCCTGGTGGGCTCCCTGGCGACGAGCTCTGGCTTCTGCAGAAGCTTATTTAGTTGCCGTTCATTCGCTGAGCGTATCAGTTGACCGTTCTCAGCCAGTGAATGCTACACTATGTATTAGCCAGCCTGGAGCTCTTCCTATGGACTGGTCAATAATGCCCCAATAACACTACCTCTGTTTGAATTACAACTCTAGCAGTGAAGAGGTTAAATTCCGTATGAAATATGCTGAAATGCTGCACATACAGACTCCGGCTACCATGACCACTTCAAATCACTGAAGTGTTTATGGTGCTTGGAGTAACCCTTTAAAGGTAAATACCAGAAGAGTGGCCATGTTTAAGGTCTCTTTAGTTGACAAATATCCAAATAAAGATTGTGCACAACTTGGCATCAGGATGCGTGAGTGCACTCCAGGTTTGTGGAGCGATTTTTTTTTTTTTTTTTTTTTTTTTTTTTTTTTTTTTTTTTTTTTTTTTTTTTTTTTTTTTCTGATCAAGAATTACACTGGAAATGATCTGTGTTGGGTTGTGAGACCGTTTATAAATACAGGCATGAATAAATGGTGACTAAATGTGTTTATAGCAAGCATAAACACAATTAAAGGAAAAGAACCACAGGTTGTGGCAAATTAAAATTATGAAAAAAAAAAAAAAAAGTCCAACCGGATAATGTCCACAATTTTCAATGTCCAATATTATTCAGTAGCACTTTAAATCTGCTTTAATCCCAATGTCATGCGATATACTTAATCCAGAATTGCATATATCCATGATACAACAGTGCATATGGTAGTATGTTTCTCGAAGAGAAAAATAAAAAACAATAGTGTAATACTGTAACACAGTGCTTAGGTGTAAAAGTGATCTGTATTACACTCACAATGAAGGAGCTAGCCTCATGAACTCAATATTCAAGCAGACAGAGGTATAAATCCCCAGCTACGGATATCTTGTGACTCTGCAGTCTTCAGTATCATGAATACATGTAATAGAAGGAACAAAAACAAATGGTGCTCTCCGTGTAATTAAAATGAGATTGGAACAATAAAAAGGCTGTACTGACATTTGATTGAGCAGTGGAATCTGCTCAAATTAATCAGCATTGGTGGTATGACTCCCACCGAGAATTAGAAGTTCTCCGACAATAGTGTAGTTGTAATGTAGTGTAGTTTAGTTTAGTTATACACACGAAAAAGCCAATTTGTATGGTGAAACGCATTGTGGATATTATTGGAAACCATTTTATTGGTTATTTATTAAAGTATTTTTGGTCTATACATCCTGGTTACTTGACCATATACTTTCTAGATAATCTTTAAGCTTTTTGTTCATAAGTGTTTTGGTTTTCCTGTTCCTGGCACTACAACTTCATTATTGGCAGAGAACTTCTAATCCTTGCATTTCAGTTATACGGAGAGCACTATTTGTAGTCCTCAGTATTGTGAATACATGCAATAGAAGTCACAAAATATCAGTAGGTGGGGATTTATACCTCCATCTGTTTGTATATTGAGCTTATGACGATAGCTCCTTCATTGTGAGTGTAATACAGGTCACTTTTACACCTGAGCACTGTTACAGTATTACGCTATTGTTTTTTTATTTTTCTCTTCGAGAAACCTAGTACCACGTGCACTGATGTACACACAGTTGACTGTTGCCTATCAAGGATATTATGCACTTCTGGATAAAGTATATCGCATGACATTGGGATTAAAGCAGATTTAAAGTTCTACTGAATATTATTGGACATTGAAAATTGTGGCCATTTTTTTTTTTCTTCTAATTTTCGTTTGGTGCAGCCTGTGGTTCTTTTTCTCTAGTTCTAGTTAAGTTTGAGAGATGGCTATTTTATTGGGGCTTGAATGAGACATTTAAAGTAGATGGTAATTCGATCTGTAAAATTAAATTGTAATGTTTTATATCAGGAGCAGAAATCCGCGGTTCCAGCAGGTTTTGTCAAGACTGGAGAGTCATGCTGTTTGCCAGAGACTGAGCCTTAAATCCTTTCTTATTCTGCCTTTCCAGAGAATAACGCGACTTCGACTCCTGCTGCAGGTTCCTCTTCCCACATTCTGTTATTCTCTCCATTGCCTTTTACTGTCATTATTCACCCAGATTTACCACTATTCTCCTCTCTGCTTTTCCTTTCTACGATTTGCTGCCGTAAGTCTCTGTCATTCCTCTTCTGGATTTTGCTGCCATTGTATTCTCCAGCACTCTTCCTCTGGATTTGCTCTACTCTCTCAGTCCGGTTGTCTAATGCATTTGCTATTATTCTCGGCTTTTCCTTTTCCAGATTTGCTGCTGTTCTTTTCTCCCATGTGTTTTTTCCTCTGCATTTGTTGCCATTATGTTACCCAGTGCATTTCCTTTTCTAGATTTGTTGCCATTATTTTACCCGGTGCATTTCCTTTTCTAGATTTGCTGTCATTATGTTACCCAGTGTCTTTCCTTTTCTAGATTTGTTGCCATTATTTTACCCAGTGCATTTCCTTTTCCAGATTTGTTGCCATTATGTTACCCAGTGCATTTCCTTTTCTAGATTTGTTGCCATTACTTTACCCTGTGCATTTCCTTTTCTAGATTTGCTGTCATTATGTTACCCAGTGCATTTCCTTTTCTAGATTTGTTGCCATTATGTTACCCAGTGCATTTCCTTTTCTAGATTTGTTGCCATTATTTTACCCTGTGCATTTCCTTTTCTAGATTTGCTGTCATTATGTTACCCAGTGTCTTTCCTTTTCTAGATTTGTTGTCATTATTTTACCCAGTGCATTTCCTTTTCCAGATTTGTTGCCATGTTACCCAGTGCATTTCCTTTTCTAGATTTGTTGCCATTATGTTACCCAGTGCATTTCCTTTTTTCTAGATTTGTTGCCATTATTTTACCCGGTACATTTCCTTTTCTAGATTTACTGCCATTATTTTGCCCAGTGCCTTTCCTTTTCTAGATCTGCTGCCATTACCCTACTCAGCCACCTTTCCTCTTGTAGATTTGCTAGTCTTATTCTCTCTGCCGCCTTTCTTTACCAGAATTTGTGACTTGTTTTTCTGTCTGATGTCCTTGCTATTCTGTATTTGCTTAGGATTGGTTGTTTCCTGTAGCCCAATAAAGGTTCTCTCTCAATCCCTCTCTCCTTTCACAGAATATATTGAAACGTTCTGCCCCTGGCTCTAACGAGGAGTTACAGGCCACAGAAGCTCACAATGCTCTGGAAGAGGTGAGAAAACAAATGACTTTGTATATCATGGAGCAAAAATAAAACGTTCGGACTTGTCTTGAGGGTTTGTGCAGGGAAGTAACTCCCGTGAGCGAGCACATAGCAACAACATTGTAGAGTGTTGTATGATAACTGTGCGAACTCTAAATATGCACCCTACAACATAAATAGTGCAACAATGGACTATTTATTCTAACGTTATTCCATACATTTGATGTTCTGCATAAATTAAATTTTTTTAGGCATTTTTCTAAAAATAGAGAACTTACAATGGAAACCATATTCTTGGTGACGGAGCCACCTTTTTTACTTTAAATACACAAAAAGAAGTCCTGCGCTCAAACTCCTACTACTCCTTCGGGGCAACAACGACCATAGTACACATCAGCCCTAATACCTATAATAAAAATACAAAGAAAAAAGTTACCTTTGCACTTCCCAAATCCCTTACATATTTACACAAATGGAGGTCATTTAGTTTTCTTCAATGGCCATTAGAGGGAATGTCCACCTGTCACGTCAAGGTACACTTCTCAGGTGGGTCCTACACTGACTATTCACCTTGCTTCATTGAGCTTCTGGCAAAGAGATCTCTAATGAGACAGAGAGGGATTTTTTTTATAAACCCCTACATACTTATTAACCCTTAATAGGGAACACATGGGGTGGGTGGCAGCATTGTAACATAGCTGTGTAATCCAAAAGTGAATACAAATGCACAAAAATAAGTACTGCGCCCAAACTCCCATCACTCCTGGGCGGCAGCAATGGCCATACCACACAACAGCCCCACATACAGTAAAAATCAAAGAGACTTTGCCTCTTTTGTTTTATGTACATCATCTTTAATAAGGGTTATTATATCCCAAAATCCTCACCTTGTTAGCAGCATATGTTATGATGTTCTTGATATTAAATAATTTATTCTACTCCTATCATGGAACGTGATCATTCTGATCTGCGGAAGGAGGGCAGAATTTATAGAAAGGTCAAATTTCTCTTAGGATTCAATGTCATTTCTTAGGGTTCCCTTAAGTGAAAAAAGTACTGTAAGATACACGTTGTCTGTACTTTGTAAGGGAACTGACCTGCAAATTGTTTTTCTTCTTGTCTCACTATTATGGACCTTTTCAGCTTATACGGGATTGCAACCAGAGTGTTCAGAGGATGAAGGACACAGAGGATCTGATACTGCTTAATAAGAAGATTCAGTTTGAATGCAAGGTGCGCAACAGGCTGGAAAGGTTGGTGGGTGCAGGGGTTAGTTAAAGATTCAAGTGGTCCCATCTATTGCAAACAAAAGGTTTTTTGGAAACCTGTAAATATATTGTGTAAGCCTCCTGGAACTTAAAAGTTTCTCTTCCTTGAGAAATATGAGTTATAGACCCAGTGTGGAATATTATCTGCTAAAACAAAAATGTTAGTTTTGATGCCATTCTGTTTTTCAGATATTTCCCCTCATCTCCCAGTCTCGCCGGCTGGTAAAACACGGGGAGGTCTCTCTTTTGGAAATCCATGCTTTCTCAATCAAATGGAAGATGACCGCCAGACCTGTCTACTTGCATCTCTTTAATGACTGTCTCATGCTGTCTCGCTTGAGAGAGTGAGTCTGAATCATTGTATTAGTCCATTTGTATGATCCAACTCTCAATGAACTCTTCTGTGATTTCCAGTTGGTCTCTGATTTTCTGAATGCTTGCATAAAAAACACCCTTTTTTCTTATTCTTTGTAAATATAACGAAACTAAATGTTCATTGCCTATGTTTGTGAGCCAATACAATCCATTTATATTGCACTGTTTATATCCTTACCCTCGTAAATATTTTAGCCTTTTTTTTTTTTTAATAAAAGGGGTAAAGTGCCAGTGGCATTCTTTAAGTCTTGCTCTGTATTCTTACTGGCTGCCACAGATCCACCATGGGTTCAGAAAAAAGGTCCCTGTCCTGAGGTTAGTCGCTGGTCCATGTCTGGTTCTCCACTATTTTTCTAAGACCTTTTTAGATGTCTGGAACTGTACCACCAATCTATGAGGTGGTAGAGTAACAATTACACCTTCCGTCAACAGTGATTGTCGCCTCTCTTCTCTCTAGTAATAGCCGTTTTGTGGTGTTTGATCATGCCCTGTCGTCGGATATTCGCGTGGAAAGGTGTGAGATGAAAATACACGGACCTCAGAAGAATTCATTCCGCATCTTCCTAAAAGAAAATGCTGCTGGGACTCGTGACACCACTTCCGTGGGACGAGAGAGTTCTGGAGATGGCAAAGAGACTGAATATATCTTCCGTACGGAAACCCAGTAAGGAAATTCAATTATTATGATGAAACTGTAATTACAATCAGTGACATAAAGAAATGATCTATATACAAACAAATTTCCACAGCGTCACCGCATGGTGTATAGTGTGGTAAAACACGTATCTTCTGAATGTACAGCTTCCCCTAGGGATATGGGTCAATCCAGCTATAGGGAAATAAAAGATAACACAGTGCAACTCCGTATGATACTTTTATCATAGTAGTATGTGCCAAATGGGTCATACTACTATTATAAAAGTATCATACGGAGTTGCACTATGTTATCTTTTATTTCCCTATAGTTGGATTGACCTATATTTGTATTTATGTATTTGTGGAAGATTTGAGGAGATCTTCGGGTTTAAATCTACAACTTAGAGGGAAGTTATTCATATTTTTCATTCACTGAAGGCACTTGGTGTTTTATACTATATTGGTGAAATTCTAATATCACAGAGTGATATAGTGAAAGAGTTTGCATTTTTTTCCCCTAGGGATATCCCAGATATTATCCAAAATTAGTATGTCGCCTTAAAGGGACACAGCATCGCCACGCCTGGGTGCAGTGTCTCTGTGCCCCTTAGTCCTGCAATGTTAATTATTGCAGTTTTAGAGAAACTGCAATGTTTACAGCTTCTAGAGGCACTACCTGCTTGCTAGGTTACTTTTGGTCGCCTGAAGTCATCCAGAGTCCGAGAAAATCCCATAGGAAAGCCATAGGAAAGCATTGCAGCAATTCTTTCCTATGGGGAGAGCCTAACACTCACTATGTGCATGCACATTAGCCACCCCCCATCGGGTAACGTCCGAGGAGGCAGAGCGCCTAACCAGCGTTAAGGAAGATCAGCATTGGATTCGGGTGAGTACAGTAAGGGTATATTCCATATCTCTTTCACCTCTGATAGTATTCATTGGAAAGGACTCTGAGATGTTCCAAAACAGGCAAGAATTTATTTGTATAAAATTATTACAAAAATAAGTGAGTGGTCCTACATGTTTCGACCCGCAAATGGGACTTCCTCAGAGGCCCAAAAGTAAAAGAACATAAAACAAATCATAAAAGCCAAACCTTTTTTTTTTTTTTTTTGCTATATCTAAATAAGGGGATAAAGATGCTAGTGATTACCCCTGCCTCCACCCTTGGCCAGCGGATTAGAGTTATAATTCTAATAAATGCGGCAGGTGGCAGCTACTAATAAATTATAGAAGTAGGTGGACATTCTATTGTCCAGCCCACCAGGGTGACTAGGGGTCCTCATGCCTCTAGCTACCCCCAATGAAAAAAAACCTACCTACCGTTCTCACATATCATAGTGAAGGGGCCCTACAAACTCCCCGTCCCCCCCAAAAAATAACAAAACAATATGTGTGTGTGTGTGTGTGTGTGTGTGTGTGTGTGTGTGTGTGTATGTATGTATGTGTATATATATGTGTGTGTGTGTGTGTGTGTGTGTATAATCTCACGCTGTTGACATATAAAGAATAAATAGACATGTTAAAATGCGTAGAATAATATTTGAATCCTGTCTGTAATAAAAGGAATTATTTCCAATGCTATAGGAAAATCTAGAATTGTATTTCGAACAGGGGACATATCTTAAAATACGGCCTAGATTGTAACAAGATAAAAAATAATTTACCTGTAAAACTGACTGGGGATGATCATGAGTGATATTTCAGTTATCCATCATAACATCCTTCAGGGTTTTTCTGAATGGCATTTAAATTTTCTGCCTTTGACATTCTCATCAAAAGAAGCTAAAAAAATGGTCTGTGGGAGAAAAACAAAACAAAATAAAAAACTAAGAATTCTCCAAAAAAAAAAAAAAATTACAGATGAAAAATTTGTAATACTTCAAAATGTCCACTAGATGGGGAAAGTAAAAGGGAAGACTGCCTAGTTTTTAATAAAATCTTAATCTGCCCATTTAAAGTCATTCAATTAAAAATGGAGTTGAAAGGAAATAATAGCTTAAGAAAATATAATGTGAGATATAAAAAAAAAAAAAATTATATTTATAAGCACTGGAACTAGGTAAAAATTTTTTAAAAACACCGTAATGAGCCTTCTGGACAAAATTAAAAAAAAAAAAAAATACAGAAAAATACCTGATTTTATGTGATCAAAGTTTGGTTTGCTCTGATTGGACAGCTGAAAGCCGATCGCTTGAAAACCAAACTAGATGATGAGGAAGCCTTATACATGTGTAGAGAGTTTGATTGGTAAGACTGATCATGACACCATCTTACTGGTTGGAAGTACCCCTATATGTCTGTAAAAACTGCCCCAATCCAGGCCCAGATTCCCCAAGTATTTACATTCCCTGTGCTTGCAATGCTCTATGTATGCTGTGTGTGTGAGGTGTATTTTCAGCCTCATCTCGTTATTCAGTATTTAAAACAAAAATACGTATTTTATTGCCCGTCGCCTGCTTAACTTTCAGGGATGGGGTAAGAACTCGGTTGGACAGGTAGGGATTCTTGTCATTCATCGCACACCAGAGGTTATGATTCAATAAGCAGAGATTGTGGTCTACACATGTTGCAGCAGATGTCTCCCACCAGTCTGGCAGAGAGTGATCTGCCCTCATTGCTACAGTGAACCAGTGCAGGGCCAGGCAGGTCGATCTTTGATACTGGGGCTGCAGGGTACCCCTTAAACGTAACCCTGGGATATATGTACATCGAGCTGAAAACCAGGGTCAGTCTGAAAATAAAATGTTGTGAATCCTTTATATCTCACGTTATAAATAACATAGAAATGTCAGAGTAACACAACACACCGGTTTAATTTATTCACTAAATAATGAATAAAATTGTTATAGTCCGTTTGGCTGTTTTGGTATAAATATTGCAATTCTTTTTTCAATTTGATGTACAATACTAGTGGAGGTACCCACCCTGTGCTGTGTATCGGTACAATATTAGGGGACCTTCTCGCCCTGTGCAGTGTATCTGTACAGTACTAGTGGAGGTTCCCGCCCTGTGCTGTGTATCGGTACAATACTCGCTCTGGACAATACTAGGGTATATTCTCACAACTTACACTAAATATGAGAGTGGCTAGTACTATAAACATTAGCTTTGCCCTCTTCAAACAGTTGTACTGCATGCTGGTGGTTTATAATTTGGTCATTTTTCTATCTTCAATGCTTAAGTATAAATAGATTTTATGGTCAGTGATGGGAGCTAGGGGTTTGATTCCCATAGAATGAGGTCCAATAGAAACAATTCAACATGGCACCTGGCAAAATATAGAAACCACTCTTATTGAACAAATATACCCATTTTACGTGTTACCATGTATTTTACTTGAGTTTTAACAATGACTGACATATGTTCTCTCTCAGGAGCCAGAAACTGAGGTGGGTCATGGCTCTCTCGCCCCCAAAGGAGGAGACAGACGTTCTAAAGTATCATGGTGAGTGGGATCGAGGCACAACAACTGGTATTGCTCCATTCCAGAAAACTAGTTTAATTAATTAGGAAATGTTCCCTTCAAAAGCTGTGAGGGCAGAGGACTGTTCTCTCCTTCTACTGTTATGTGCACATTGGAATATTCTCTCCCTCCTCCTCCTATAGTGAGGATACATTGGAATATTCTCTCCCTCCTCCTCCTATAGTGAGGATACACGGGAATATTCTCTCCCTCCTCCTCCTATAGTGAGGATACACGGGAATATTCTCTCCCTCCTCCTCCTATAGTGAGGATACACGGGAATATTCTCTCCCTCCTCCTCCTATAGTGAGGATACACGGGAATATTCTCTCCCTCCTCCTCCTATAGTGAGGATACACCGGAATATTCTCTCCCTCCTCCTCCTATAGTGAGGATACACGGGAATATTCTCTCCCTCCTCCTCCTATAGTGAGGATACATTGGAATATTCTCTCCCTCCTCCTCCTATAGTGAGGATACACGGGAATATTCTCTCCCTCCTCCTCCTATAGTGAGGATACACGGGAATATTCTCTCCCTCCTCCTCCTATAGTGAGGATACACGGGAATATTCTCTCCCTCCTCCTCCTATAATGAGGATACATGGGAATATTCTCTCCCTCCTCCTCCTCCTATAGTGAGGATACATGGGAATATTATCTCCCTCCTCCTCCTATAGTGAGGATACACAGGAATATTCTCTCCCTCCTCCTCCTCCTATAGTGAGGATACACGGGAATATTCTCTCCCTCCTCCTCCTATAGTGAGGATACACGGGAATATTCTCTCCCACCTCCTATAGTGAGGATACACGGGAATATTCTCTCCCTCCTCCTATAGTGAGGATACACCGGAATATTCTCTCCCTGCTCCTCCTATAGTGAGGATACACGGGAATATTCTCTCCCTCCTCCTCCTATAGTGAGGATACACGGGAATATTATCTCCCTCCTCCTCCTATAGTGAGGATACACGGGAATATTCTCTCCCTACTCCTATAGTGAGGGTACACGGGAATATTCTCTCCCTCCTCCTCCTATAGTGAGGATACACGGGAATATTCTCTCCCTCCTCCTCCTATAGTGAGGATATACGGGAATATTCTCTACCTCCTCCTCCTATAGTGAGGATACACGGGAATATTCTCTCCCTACTCCTATAGTGAGGATACACTGGAATATTCTCTCCCTCCTCCTCCTATAGTGAGGATACACAGGAATATTCTCTCCCTCCTCCTCCTATAGTGAGGATACACGGGAATATTCTCTCCCACCTCCTATAGTGAGGATACACGGGAATATTCTCTCCCTCCTCCTCCTATAGTGAGGATACACGGGAATATTCTCTCCCTCCTCCTATAGTGAGGATATACGGGAATATTCTCTCCCACCTCCTATAGTGAGGATACACGGGAATATTCTCTCCCTCCTCCTCCTATAGTGAGGATACATGGGAATATTCTCTCCCTCCTCCTCCTATAGTGAGGATACACAGGAATATTCTCTCCCTCCTCCTCCTATAGTGAGGATACACGGGAATATTCTCTCCCTCCTCCTATAGTGAGGATACACGGGAATATTCTCTCCCTCCTCCTCCTATAGTGAGGATACACGGGAATATTCTCTCCCTCCTCCTATAGTGAGGATACACGGGAATATTCTCTCCCTGCTCCTCCTATAGTGAGGATACATAGTTATTCTCCTTCCTCTTATGTTCCACAATAACATTTGTCATTCAGTATATTTTAGAACAGTAGTTCTGTGGAATAATCTCCCACCCTCTATTACTGGGTAGAATAGTAATATTTTTGTGTTCTAGGCCTTTCACAGATGCAGTGTTTAAAATCCTACAAAGCAAGAGAAAATGATGAGCTTTCACTGGAGAAAGCGGATGTTATTTTGGTGACGCAGGAATGCGAGGACGGTAAGTCTCTGCACTGATTTTTACCGAAATTAATAGAAAAAGTAGGACGAGAGTGAAGGTTCTGCAGACCCTTAAAATAAAATGTTAATTTCCCTCCTCCCCCAAATTGTAATAAAACCAGTTTGTCTCAAACCATCTCAGTTCTGTGTAATTTTTTTTTATTTTATTTTTTGTGTTTTTTTTTTTTTTTTAACTGGAATAAGTGACTGCAGTTATTTAAGTTTTCACTAGGAAACTGTAGATGTAGAATCCTGTAAACTGGTAAAATACTCTTCCCTTCCCAATTAATTCCCAATAGTTTAAATATAGAGATAAGTAACACAATATTTAAAGCGGCACTGTCCCTCACTCAGGATCTGTTCTTCAGGTTTCCTACGCCTTCTATCTATGACCAGTGGAGGAGCAAAGTATGATTCGTTTCCTGTGGTCAAAGACATTTTCCCACAATTCTCACCTTTCCTCCATGTTCTCACGATGTCTCCTTTCCGTATTCCCGAACGCTGGCAAAACTACCGAATTTCGCCCTAACAGAATAAGAGCAGTTCGTCCATTTGTGTTGGGATGAAATTCAGGACTTTTGTTCGATTTGAAACTTAATCAGGGCGCTATCTACCAAAAGACTGAAAGACCAAGATGGTCTTTTAGCCAACTTTACTAATACCAAGTAAAAATTACTTGGTATTAGTAATTAATCTGCCCCTACTCGCTATATCGCGAGTAGGGACATGTCTAGTAAATCGTGAGCAGCCTGTGGGTGGGGGTGCTAAATGTGAAAATATCCCCCCCAGGTAACTAAGGGTTCCCAAACCCCTAGTCACCCCCCCACCTAAATAAGATAAAGTACTACCTACCCCCCTCACCCTAAAATAGTGTAGGGGGAGTCCATAAATCTAAATCCCTGTAAATAAATAAATTAACATACTTATTTGATGTTGTCTTTTTTTTTTTTCTACATCCTTTTTTTATTTTATTTTTTTAGCCCCAAAAAAGGCCAAATAAACCACCACAATACCCGAATAAAAAAAAAAAGCGCAAAAAAAATTAATCCTCCTTCATCCAGCGAGGACATGGCGCAGACTGAGCTCCGCAGGGTGCTCAGAGCACTCGGATTGGTTTAAGCCAACTAATCACAGTGCTCTGACAGGTAAATGAAGGTAAGTCTATACGTTTACCTGTCACAGCAATCTGATTGGTTGGCTTGGAATCCAACCAATCAGAGTGCTGAGTCATTTTACACAGCGTGGGAAAGTTCTTTTGAATTTTCCCATGCTGTGTAATTTGACTCATAACCCTCTGATTGGCTGCTTTCAAAAAAGCCCCCACCTGTTCAAATGCCCAAGTGTTTAACTGGGCATACGCGGGAAATTCACAGCGCTATCTAGTGTGGAAAGATGACATGTCCCACAGGGACTTCATCTGCCCACACAAAGATGGTGGCGCCCAGGACCTAGGTCCAGGCAGAAAATAGAGATAAAAAAATAGGTAAAATGGGGGGCCTAAGGGCATTTGTTGTGACTAGGGGATCAATTAGATTTAGTGGAGTCGGGAGAGGGGTTTAGAAGAAAAAAAAAAAGCTGGATTCGGCCATGACCGTGCCACTTTAACAAAGGTGTTTGAAAAATAAAATGGAGGATTCCAGTTAATGCTATAAGCCCCACCCATTGCAACTGGGATACAGCATTCAGAAAAGGGAGAAATTAAATCATCTTCCTCTCCTAAATCTGCATTGTGTGCCCTGGCTGTGCCTTGTCTGACCTGGATTGTGAAATGATTTGTTTAATTTTTAATATACATTGTGTCTGTCTTGTGCCCCAGGATGGCTTCACGGCGTACGTCTCTCAGACATGCAGTCTGGATGGTTTCCTCGTTCCCACGTCCAGCCCATCAGCCGTAATGCATGTCTCCGGAATCTGCAAGAAGAACAGAGGCTTCAGACGGCACGGGCCAAACTGCAGCCATCTGGCACAAAGTGATTATGGTAGACATTTCAACAGACCTGCTGCAAGAAGAACAGAGGCTTCAGACGGCACGGGCCAAACTGCAGCCATCTGGCACAAAGTGATTATGGTAGACATTTCAACAGACCTGCTGCCTAATGTGTGTCTCCATCTTCCTCCCATAGGTACCACTGTGTCCCTGTTATTATAAGTCCTTTACCTCTCGTGCCTTTCTGCTGTTCCGATATGATGATTTAAGATATTCTTAACTGGATTGTACATTTTACATCTGTTCTATGAAGAACTACTCTAAGCTCAAACAGCGATTATGTATTTATATTTTAATAAAAATCAGACTTTACATACCTTCTGTCAATGTATGCTGCAGATCTTGTGGGTAATCTGCTGTTTTGGAATGTAGGCTGAAAACTTACTAAATTCAACTTTATTTATTCTTGTGTTAATTCTTTTCATTAACAATTGCAAATTTGGCTGTGGAGCTATGTTTCCAGGTGGTTCCAACCGGAGGTAAGCGGCAAGGTGCCAGATTCCTCCCTATACAGTACAGAGATACTCTCACAATAAACAGAGTTGGGAAAAATAGATACAATACAAAGATACCTATACACTACACAGGACTGGGTAGACTACATAGATTTCTATACAATACAGAGCTGGGCATAATAAGGAGAGACCACAACTATCACACACAACCAGGCTCACTATGATGGCTTACACAGAGATCCCCACACACAGTACGTGTCTCTATATCAGGGGTAGGCAACCTATGGCACGTGTGCCATGCACGGCACTCAAGGCTGCTAGAGCCAAACAGGCTCTGGCGTATCAGGAGTCCCAGTGAAACTTCAGATATCTGCTAATACGATGTCCCTGGTTAAATACTTTGTATTATTGGTATTGCTGGGTTCACATACTGTACATGCTTTTTATTTTATTTTTTTTTATTTATTTTTTTCTCCAGAAGGATATTGATACTTTAGAGCAGTGTTTCCCAAATGGTGTTCCGCAGAACAAAATTGGGGTTCCGCTGCATTTTGTCACATCCAAGATGGCCGCCACTATCTGCTGTTCCTGGAAGGTCGGAAACAGCAGAGATCGCAGGAGCGTGATCTTAAGCCCGTCCTCCCATCAGCCAGCCACGTAGCTCGGACATTAGAGCCCGCCAAGCAGTCAGTGAGCCAGCCAGCCCTGCCGTCAGCCATTTTCTATCACTCGTGGTAGAGGAGTGATAGAGAGTGGAGCTGATAGTTAAAGCTCTGTTATTGTCATAGAATGCTCTGTTAGGTAGGGACATGGAAAGGCATTTATAGAAACTGAGAAAGAAGATGCAGCTAAAAATCCAGAAAACATGCCCAAAATAGTTGTATCTTCTGTTCCTCAAACAGCAGAGACAAGTGAAAAGTAAAGAGAAAAGCACACAATGCTAGCCAATCTTCTTAAACAAAGCGTGTACAAAGGGTCAAAGCATCAAATTACTGATAGACTCCTTATTACACTCAGTGTACACAGGTTTAAAGCAGCAGGATACGGATAGACTTCTTACCTTTGCAGCTGGCATTATAATTAATCTGCTGTGGTAATGTAGAGCCAATAAGTAGCTGACATGGTTAACAGAAGCAACATTCATTACATATTGAAATCCAAATCAGATCAGTCCTCAGAGTTACAGCCCTAGTCCTGCAGTTTGAAGCTTCATGACTTTTCAACTAGCCACAGTGTAAGTGTCTGAGGTCTCAGTTATAGAGTGGCTGAGCACTTTAAAAAAGATGGGAGTATGTGCAATAGGAGTTATTAAATTTATTCGTAACAGCAGCACAGCGCTCTGTGTCAGAATTATCCCCCTTTCCTTTTCACCACTATTAGATATTATTATATAGTAATTATATATTTGAGTACATTAACTTGCTTAATCCAAATAAAAATAATATACTGGCGCTAAAACAAAATGTACAATCTCTGATTGAAAAAACTTAAACAGCTGCTGTAACACCTAGATGCAATCTTTCTAACTTACATCAATACAAGTATAAAGAACAAAGGAAAGGTGTAGCGTTACATACAATAATAAAGCTGAACCTGACCAGAAAAAATACGTCCCAATGTAGATAGTCGAGATACCATATAAAATATACCTAGAACAAAGGAAAAAAGACTCCAATAGTGTAACACTGTAAATATAGATAATAATAAATATCGAAAGCAATAATACACTCACATTCTCCTGAGCTTAACGCCAAGCTCAGGGATAAGCTTTTGTAGGTCCGTACAGGCGACCTTCCCCTTATTCTAGCCGGGTAATCTTGTCTAATCGCCTCTAGGACTCAAATAAAACAAGCATATGGTGTAGTATGCATGCACGAAATTCTAATAATTCTGGTGCTTGGTCAGTAAGGAGTTGTAAGATGGGACACATTTTCTACAATACTCAGCTGTTCCCAAAAATGCAAGCACCTGTTTTTAGTCTGGGGAACTGGGCTGCCACCTTCGCAGGGTCTGGTCATAGTTGCCCACTTCTTACCCGGTGTCCTAAGACTTTGGTAGGTCGAATGGTCAACCCAGAGGCCCGACTCCTGTATAGCACAGAGTTTTTTGGGGCATATGGGGATAAGGGTATCTGCCAATAGTCCCTACTTATGCCCAGGATGGTCAAAAAGCAAGATCCAGACAGTCTAAGAGGTTATCTACATGGGGCATAGGGCAGGCATCTGTGATGGTTATGTCATTGGGTCTCCGATAATCTACACAAAAGCGGATTGTCCCATCCTTTTTAGGCATTAAGACTACAGGTTATGCCCATGTACTTTTTGGAAGGCTGAATAATGCCCTGTCAAAACATGTTTGAAATCTTGGTCTCTATATTGGGTAATTCTGCCTCTGGCACCGAATATACAGAGGGTGCAATGTCCCATGGTGTCAACAGCATGTTAAGCCAGTGAAGTTTTACCAGGTGGGGAAGTGGGGGGCAGGGGGGTAAACATAGGCCCTATTGCTAGACAGCAGGTACAACACATTTTGGGGATAAGTGCAGTTAACTGGGGTTTGATTTTCACCTGTGCAATATATATAACAAAGTGTCTGCTAGGAGGTCATGAAAAGCATTTTCTTACTCTCCCTTAGGAGGATTTGAGGTGGCAGTCCCAGCTTCCGAATGCTCAACATACTCTTTCAGCATGTTAATATGGTCTGTACAATATACACAATTGGAGGGGGTATCCTGTGTAATTAGGTAAGTAGTATTATTCAGGCTTTTGACCATAGTCCAAGGGCCTGACCCTACAGCCTGGAATTTGTACTGGGTAACAGTCACCAACCCAAGCACTGACTGTCCTATTTAAAAATCAATCTCTCTCTCTCTCTCTCCCTCCCTCTCTCTCCCTCTCTCTCCCAACTCCATAAGGGTTTCTAGCTTTTCCCCAAGTTGTAGCACACAGAGAACTAATGCTGTATCCTTGAGTACCATCCTTCCTTGTACTCCCACAATAAATCTAATGGTTCACATACCTTATTGTCTAAATAAAAGTTCAAAGGGTGAAAATGTAATGGATTCCTGCAGTACCTCTCAATATACAAAAAGCAAGCATGGCAGGAAATGCTCCAGCTCTGTGTCTATGAATGCTTTAATCATCTTCTTGAGTGTCTCATTAAAAAGTATGCAGATGCCATCAGTCTGGGGATGAGAGGGGTTGCCTATATTGAACAGCGGTATGGAACTTGCTGGCACTATAGAAATAATAATATTGCCCAAATGTCACAAAGTTCCCACATCTGCTGCAGCAGTTCTGAGACAGAGTCCCTCTGTGGAACAGGATCTCACTTGGGAATCCTGCTGGAGTAAAAATGTTTACTAGTGCATCCGCAATCTTCTTGGCAAATATAGTGGATTATGCCACTGCTTCAACATATCGGGTAGCATAGTGTATCACGATTAGTATATACCTTTTCCCTGACTGGCTAGGTTTGTCAAGAGAGCTGATAACATTGACAGCTACCTGCTGAAAATGTTACCCAATGACTGGTAGGGGTTGAAAGGGCATTCAGAAATGATCATTATGTTTTCCAACCCATTGACAAGTGCCACAGGATCGACAAAACTTGCACAGAATCTCGACTAGCAGAGAGAGGCAAGGTACAATGGGCTACAGCAGCTCTGCTAGTATATTTACCCACCAGGATGCAGACTAATTCAGCTTGGTCAATCCAGAACAAATAACAGTGATGCTAAAAGTCCTGGAGGAAACCGTAAATGTCCACTTTGTCCTCATCAAACCTTTGGAAGGTATGGTATATGACCTTGAGATGAATGCATTTGCTTGACTCTGCCTCAAATAGTGGTCTGTTGTAACTCATGTTTGGTCCAATTCTTCTAGGACTTGTCACATTACCGCCATCATAATGAAATCTGAGACAGGATTAGACGGATAGGCTAGTCTCTCTTGCATTCTCTGCTGGAAAAGGGTGTCTGCTTCCTCCTGGGAGGTTGCCGAATTCTCTGCTGAGTACCCATCTGTTACGGCACCCTCAGCATAAAAGGGTTAAACTGCCGTTTAATAGATCTTCCCCTTCCAGAGATACAGGCACAGCTACTGCAGAACACCAAACTCCCGAATCGCAAATAAGTGAATGCTCCAAACTCCCGAACTGCATACTAAAACACAATAAAATACACAATATTACATTTATCACACAAAATATATACTTGCAACCCATCCCCAGATAGCTGGGATCTGAGCGCACAAAAGTACCGAATAGCGCTCAGATCCTATGCACACAGTCCAATCGCCGTGGAGTCAAAGTGTTCACAAAGTCTGTTCTCCATACGAATAAACTCCACGGGATGGCTATCTGGGGTATGGTGTATTCCGGTACAAACTATCGAATATAGGGCCGTTCGTGCACTTCTACCGAACAAGAAGGGAGATCGGCGGCTTCAGCGGTGTTCGCGCCAAAATGTATCCATTTTCAGTTCCGTGAGTTGGGCGTCGAACACCGCTGTGCGTTCGCGTGTTTAATATGGCCGCGACCTCGTGTTCGGTATACGAATGGTGGCCACCCAGCATTCGTCAATTAAGCTGCGGTTAACCGCAGCTTCTGGGAGGCTAATTGCCGACACATTCCAGCTCCCAGGTGGTCCAGTCATTCGTGTGTTAGAAAGGCACGAATAAGCCTTTTCTGCACGTGAAAAAAGAAGGCTTTTATCATGGGGCCATAATCCAAAGGCAACAGGCGAGCAACCAGGCTTCTCCAATGCAATGTTGCGAGATTGGTCTCGTCACACCATCTCTTCCATTCTCACCATCCATGGTAAGTGCGACAAGCTCTGGCTTGTGGCGTTGACTCGGGTTTAGAACCTCTGATGGTAGATAAATTACCCCAATGCTGGCACAGCTGCTCATAGACTGCTTTCATTAATGGCTCCGTCTGAACCTCCCGATGAAGGTTAAATCCTAGTGGAGGCCCAGAGGAGGCGGGCTGAAAGCTAGCCGAATAGGAGGCATGTGTGGGTGTGGTGGTAAAAATGGGGGTGTTATTTAGCTAAGGAGTAGGGTGGGGTTATATAAATAGTTGACATTTTGTCTTTTACCTCAGCCATCTTAAGGTAACTATTCCTCACTGTGCTGCAGCCTTTAGTTACTTTTGCTTACCCCACGGCCAGGAGCATGGATATCGATGGGATCCTTGCTGCCCTTAGGGCTGAGGCCCTCCAGTACGGTGGCAGGCACCTGCAGGCCCAGCTGGTAAGGCTGCAGGGTGCCTCCGTGGTAGCTGCTCCCCCTCTCGGCAGCCATGGAACACTGCGCCGCTGGGCGCGTCCCCGGGTGAGGGACAGGAGCAGGAGTCCCGTTGCCGGCCCGCACGCCAGGTCCCCCGCGGCCGCGGGCGGCATTTCAAGCCAGCATCCTCTCGCCTCCCGAGGCGGTCTTGCAGTGCCCGTCTGGCAGCCGCTTCTCGGGGAGGTGATGGCCGTCCCATCCCAGTCCCTGCTCCTCCGATCTCGCGCGCCCTCAGAAGGGCGGCCGCGAGATCAGGTTCCAGCAATCCGTCCCGGCCGGCGCGCCGGGCACCTGATATGCGCTCTGCCCCCAGTGGATCTCGGGATCGCGGGAGCGCACACAGGTTAGGTCTGCAGCCGGCCCTTATCCGGAAACGGTGAGTAGGCCGCAGGTCGCCGGGGTTCTCAATCAGGGGTTGGGGGGTTCGGGGGGTCGGGGCATAGAGCCAGGACCGGCTAATATCACTCACAGCCCCCCCCTTCTCCTCCTCCCCTCTCTGTCTCCCCTGGGCTGGCCTCTGCCACACTCCCATCAACCTTATCCTACCCCCTTTGGCCCCTTTCTTTTGGGGCTGCATCCTTCTGCACCGGCCCTACCTTAACCTAGGGCCCATGCTGCCCCCTCTGGGGCTATTTCCGCCATGGCAGACAAACATTCTGGTTCCTCTGTCATTTCCACTAATCCTGCAGGGTTGCTCCACTCTACTGTACGTCCCCCAGCACCTGGGGTGGGCAGGGTTCTTTCTCACCTGTCCTGTCTTCACAGATTATTCCTGGTCAGCTTGCGAATCGGTTCCCTGACGCTGTGACTGGTGCAGTGCTTCCTGCGTCGCAGTTCCCTCGGGGCCGTCGCAGGCTGGTGCACAAGTTGCAGTTCCGCTGCTACCTTCAAATTCAGCTCCTGCCGGTGAGTACTCTGGTTTAACTGGGTTAGATTCGGGGGGCGCTAGCGCAAGGGAGGCGCAAGAGTGGCGTTCAGTGCTCCAAGCTATGAAAAATGTTCTGCTAACTCTTGAGCG